GGATGTGTGTGCATGTACGAGTGTATGTGTGTATGTGTGTGTGTGAGAGAGAGAGGGAGAGAGAAAGAGAGAGACAGGAGGGGGGAGGGAGATATTGTTCATGCCTATTGACACCCTGTCTAGGTGCACATGTTTTTCTGAGCTGTATATCGTTGCGTATGTATCATTGGACATGAATATAACAATCGCAATTTTCAGTTGATGCTGAATCTTTGATGGTTAAAACTCTGGCATAATATCCACCCCGATTTCCCTCGTAGATCAATAAAGTCTATCTAATCTTTTCTTATCTTTTTCTGATGTTTTACACCATATCGACACAATTTAGATGATTAATTAGGAGTCAGGGTTATCAGGGCCAACATGTGCTGAGGGGTCTACAACATCCCAGCAGAAAGACCGAGATACTCGGTTTAAAAAAAACTCCCCACACTCATATCGAGCTCAAGTCTTCTGCAGTGTGACGACGAAGCACCTAACTGCTACACCACAGCATAGATGCGGTGTGTTAATGAAGCAAATGAATTCACGTATTTTACTTTCCATTGAAGCCAAAAATTTCCCTCAAAGATCGACAAAAGTGATGTCTCTTTACTGCGTTCGTTTATTATTTAGACGGAAATTAATTTGTAAACATCGAAAAAGTTAAACCACTCCAACTCACCATTGTTGGCATTCAGGTCCATGCACATCATTGTACCCTTGACATTCATGCAACACTGTCCCGTGGGACAGTCAAAGTCACTATAACAGTGACCATACGGGCTTTTGGAAGTGCCTTTGCCATAACCTTGGTTACCATGTCCGTAGCCTTGGTTGTTGTTGCCGTAACCTTGGTTACTGTGTCCGTAGCCTTGATTATTGTTACCGTAACCTTGGTTACCATTTCCATAACCTTGGTTACTGTGTCCATAACCTTGATTGTTGTTGCCGTAGCCTTGGTTACCGTATCCATAAGCTTGGTTGTTGTTGTTGCTGCCATAACCTTGGTTACTGTATCCATAACCTTGGTTATTGTTGCCGTAGCCTTGGTTACCATTTCCATAACCTTTGTTGTTGTTGCCGTAGCCTTGGTTACCATTTCCATAACCTTTGTTGTTGTTACCGTATCCTTGGTTACCATTTCCATAACCTTGTGAGTTGTAGCCATAGCCTTGGTCCCCGCGGCCATAGCCTTGGTTATTATAGCCGTAGCTTTTGTCCCCATATTCCTTTTTCTCGTAGCCATCACCGCTGAAGAAGAAAAAAAGTGAAGTTTAAAGTTTGCACCACAAGTTGTCCATGGCCTATAAACCCCTCAACAAACGTAAAAACGTTCAAAACAGGTGACAAGACAGCACCCTTATGATTGTAGGATTCTAATTCCAGGTTTGGTTGTTTGTTTTTTCTTTTTTGTTTTGTTTGTTTGTTTTGTTGGGGGGTGTTGTTTGTTGGTTGGTTGTTGTTTTTTTATACGACACATTACTGACACAACACAGTCACAGCGGCTTGAGATAATCCAACGTGTGTACTTTGTTGGAGTTTTATTTTTCAGTTTGATGCTTAATCAACAGATAAAGTTTGAAAACATTTTAGCTGTAAGAGTAATCTAACATGCTAACGCAAAACTACAGCTTATCTATTCCAAGTTTAAGACTTTAAAACTATCGTACTACTACAAGTTCTCTTACTGCCCAAGTTACCGGAATTTGTTGAAGGTCAGAAGACATTATTTAGGAAGTGTTACTACTAAATATGTTGGGTTATAATGAGAGAGA